ACGACGACTACTACTACTACTAGCCCCCCCCCCTACCAACTATGTTCCCTTAAATGTCAGGGGTGGGCTGTCAAAAGCTTGAAAGGAAGAGGGTAGTGGTGGAACGTGCCTCACCCACGCAAAATCATCAACAAATGCTGTAAATTCCCAGAGTTTGCGCATGTGTGCTCTGCGAATTGACGTCATTACGCCCCCACCCACCCCCTCCTGCCTCCCCACCCTACCCCACCCCACCCCGCTCCCAGCATCCCCACGCATTACGAAAGTACAAGGATTGTTGGCATTCCACGGAAGCCAATTTCTTCAGTTTTTACCTGGTTTCACCATGCGCAATCTGGCAAACATAGTGGTAGGGAGGGGGGGCGCCTACTACTACTACTCCTCCTCCTCCTACTCCTACTCCTACTCCTACTCCTACTCCTACTACTACTACTACTACTAATACTTCTTGTTGCACTTTACTGCTACTCTTACGGTCACTGTTACTGCTACTGTGCGTGCCACCACTGCTGCTGCAAGTGCAACAACAAGTACACTTGCGCTACTGTTTGCCCCCCCCCGCCCTTGGGGCTAAGAGACTGGCGACATTCGGCACAAGGGGCCAAGACGGCAGAAGCCCATGCCTGTTCAGCAGCAGGCTGGTTGTGGTGTCTAATCATCTCCACTAAGGATTAGGGTTTAAGTGCCAAAAAAGTAGATCGTGCTCCAATACTCCTGACAACAAAGAAGAGACTCCTGCTTGCGCCAGTGAAAGCTTCAGGGCTCTACTTACACAACACAAAACAGCACCAAATAACCCTGCACGATGTGTAGTTCACTCCTAAGCACCATATGGTGGTTTCCACAAACAGGGCTTCCCCTTCTAGACCACAAAGTAGTCATCTCCAGAAAATATGTCCCGTCGCTTCCAGCCCTACCCACCTCAGATCCTCTCAGAACAAGACCGTTTGGGGATCAAAACCCCAAATCCCTACAGGCCGTGAATGAGATACGTAGAAATCCGAAATATAGGTACTGTTACCTTTCGAGGTGTCTTCCGAATGAACCGCGAAAGAAACCTAGCTTGCGTTCCTCCAGGGCCTCCTAACCGGACTGCATACATGTGACCCATTCATCTAAAGCTGAATGAATATCCGCGTCTAACCTTTGGAATAAATTTTCCAAGAAACATACCTCTTGGCGGATTGCACCGTTCCTATGCGTAGTCCAATGCCGGTGTCAAGAAAACATCACATCAAATACATTCTGTCGAGCTTCACTTTGCTTTGCAGATGCTCAAAGGCTCCCCCACTACCGAAAGACAAACTCCCAAAAAAAGGAGGCGAACTTCGCACTGAGGGATCAACTACCACGCGAAGCCCTCCTGTAGGACGGAAACCCAAGATGCCCTGCTGCCACGAACTCTCCACCCCGCAGGTAAGGAAACGAAGAGGCAACAGCCGCCAAATAGCTTGGGGTTTACCCAATAATGGGGGATTATTTAGACGAGGAAATATTCGGGAATGGAAACTACTATTAAGGGTGTAACGTTCAATCGAATGGAAAAGAGAAGGCAAAGTGAAATGGAGAAGATGAAATGAAAACGGGGATCATGCAAATTAGCATTCCAACCTTGAACCACAAGCCCCGGATCCGTTCCCTGACTCACAACATCCCGATGCCTACTTGGAGCTTCATGGGCAGAAAAAGTCAAGATGTTCAAGTCAGCTTGCTAGAATGACTCCCCTACGGTTTTGGAGATTCCTGGGCTCTTTAGCTCCCCTTCTTACATTGATATAGACTATCCCTAGCTCCTTAGCTCCTCCCAAAAAACTGGGTAGATAAAGCCTCAAGCAAGGTAGTCCAAACTGCACTTGACAACTCTGAGGGCCAAGCGATATCTTGGACACTCCTGGCGCCTGGATGCTATGGCGTCTGGAATTTAAGGATTGGAGGCGAGAGTTCAAGGTTTTGGAGGGGCTTGGGGGTCGGGGTTTGGTTTTTTTTCGCAGGTTTCGAGTTTGAAGTTTACAGTTTGGGGTTTGGTGATTTGGGACGTGGAGCTTGAGGACAAAGACGTTAATATCGTGATCATCATCATCATCATCATCATCATCCTCATCATCATCACCATCATCAGCAGCGAATCACACCAAAAAAACTAAACACCTTCAGCACAAGATGAAACCAAGCCTGCACGAGCTTCCATAAGCCAGGCATTGATACTCATTGAGGCGTGCAGTAGCTCCCGACATTCAAGCGTCTATTTCTTGTGGTGCCACTAGGAGCTCTGTGTATGTAGTTTTGCATGTTGCCACCTAAGTCAGGCTGCCAGCAAAGTTCCCCGTTTAGGGTTTAGGGTTTAGGGTTTAGGGTCATGGTGCAATTTGATGTCTCAGGACATTCAAGCGGACCAAATGTCTAATACAGCGTAGCTCCTTTTATTATCAAAATTTCAAACGCGTATTCCGTATTCCGCAAACATTCAGAACGATGGTCAACAATGACCAAGCAGCTTGAGAACCTGAATCCTATAATCCCTGTACTTTCCGTTTTCTTTGCCGTAATCCCTATATAACCCCCAATATATAGCCCCTATATAACTATATAACCCTAACTTAACTCCTATATAATCCCTACAGAATCCCTTTGTAATCCCTATATAACCCCTATAACCCCTATATAACCCTTATATGATCCCTATATAACCCCTATATAACCCCAATGTAACCCCTATGTAACCCCTATGTAACCCCTATATAATCCGTATATAATCCCTATATAACCCCTATAAAGGCCCAATGTAGCCCCTGTATAATCCCTATATAATCCTTATATGATCCCTATATAACCCGTGTATAACCCCAATGTAACCCCTATCTAATCCCTGTGTAACCCAAAACCCACGGCCGGCTCTGAAGCTGGGATCTCCACTCACTCGCGGCCACGTGCTTGAAGAGACAGTCTTGGTCGTAGCACTTGCCAGTCTGAGCGCAGGTTTAGGGTTGAGGGTTTAGGGATTGGGTATGGGACTGCTATCTGCTTCGCCGACATGGGTGTTTGGACAACTGCGTTTCCAAGTCTGTACATGCAGGATTTGGGAGATCAAGCCAGCTAAAGGGTTCTTCATCGGAGAGACCGCCGTCAAAGGTAGCTTTCCGAATTCACGTAATAATCACACAGGTAATCGATGATCAGAGCACAAGCAACAACATGCTCCATCTTAAGATGTTCGTGTTGCAAAGGACACAAGAAAAGCCAGCGGGCTATCGCCGGTGCCTTGAGAAAGAACAGGCACTCTGGCATGCGATTCAGGTCGAACTGGTGCAAGTAGTCGCACTTGTCCCCTTGCGCAGGTCACGTTTCGCTTGAATGCCAGCGTTTTATGCCTACGGAATTATGAATTATGGTATTCTATTATACTCAGGCCATGCAAGCTTTTCAATACCAACACGAACACCCAAATTCCCATCCTAAGCCGTGACCTGCAACAGGTTCCCGCCTTCCTGGCTACCCTAATGCGGGATGCTTCCTGGAGGGTTCGGCTAACAAACCAATGGCTCATAGTTCTGCCTACTGCTGTTACCCTCACTACTGCTACTATTCTAGATACTACCACTGCTACTGCTACTGCTACTGCTACTACTACTGCTGCTACAGCTGCCACAACAACTACCGCCGCTGCATGTTTTGCTGTTACTACTACTAATTGTTCTAAGAACGAGAAGAATGCCACCATGACCACTGCTACAACTACGACTACAACGACCACTACCACCGCCGCCACCACCACCACCACCACCACCACCACCACCACCACAACGATGCAAGGTCACTAACATGATGAACATGAAAACTACGTATTTGACCCAGACCGGCAAAACCCGAAGTTGAGTGAGGGGTCCACTACCGCTTATAATGGTCCCCAGGATACTCTCAGTATTGCCGATTCCGGGTGCTGGGATTTGCGTTCAGTGTTCAGATCGCCCGAGCCTCGGACATTAAAACTTACACCCCAAACGCCCAAACGCTAAATCCTGAGTCCTGAAACTTCCGCCACACACTCCCCGGCCTTTCATGCAAAGGCCCTTCAGCCAGTGACGACATACGGTCCGTGAGCCTTCGAGACGCAAAAAGAACTGATGCTTGAAGTTAGGGTTTTAAGTGGTTCCTGCTTTCCACAACATGATATAAAAAAAAAGAAGGGTTTGGCTGCTATCACAGCTCAAATTCTGGCCTCAACTTTGACAACTTCCAAGGCAGAAGTTAGACATCGGTAGTTGCGGTGAGCACTAGTCCACGTAGGGTGGCCACCGAGCATCAAGTTGGAGAGGTCTGTCGCTCCCGGAAAATAAGGGCCTCTCTGAGATCTAGCGCTGCTAGGGCCTCCTTGAATTCCACGGCATTGCTTTAAAGAACTGCCAACTGCTGAAACCCAGCCACCATCGCACACTCTCAGCTTTGCTTAAGACGCAATCCACATCCCAGACTTCACGGACACTTCTGCGTAAAGATGTTCAGATCCAGGGTTTATGGTTTAGGGTTTAGGGTTTAGGGTTTAGAGGCTTGCGTTGGAGTAGAGGTTTCCGTCTACATGGGTGACATGATGCAGCGACTGCAAACCCAGGGCCCCTGCCAGCCCGAGACACACTTGCCTCTTGTTACTTGTAGGGGATAAGGAGCGTACTACTCCATATGTATAACCCGAAAGACATCCCACCAAAATCGGCAGAAGCGCTTCTTCAAGGTGCCAAGTACCTGTCCTCCCTGCACCTCCTGCATTCTTGGTCAGCTAGCGGCAACTTCCTAAAGGAATAAACCCTGAACCCTGAACCATGTGCGATACCATGAGGCATAATCCTAAACCCTGAACTCTGAATCCCGCTAAATGGTAGTTTCCCTAAATAGGGGTACCCCAATATAGACCCCAAAATACTATAATCCTTATTATAGGGACCCCCAAAATGGTACCCCTAGTTTTGCGAGACCCCTAATCCCTATAAACCCCTATATAACCCAGTGTCCATTTGATTTTCCATTTTCTTTTGCATTTGATTCTCCATTATTCCTTATAACCCCTAAACCCTAAACCCTAAACCCTTATAACCCCAAATTTTTGGCCTCGATTCAGAGCTCCTTCGGCCGAGGTCAGCCCTTCCGCCTCAGGGCCCAATTTTCAAGGCTTGAGCTTGCTAAGTTTAAGGGCTTAGGCTTCAAGATGAAATTTAGGATCTAGGGGTTAGGGTATAAGCTTAACGGCTTAGGTTTTAAGGTTTAGGTCATTTTTTTTTAGCGGGCTTAGGGTTTACGACTTAAGGTTTAGGATTGAGGGTTTAGGGTATAAGGTTTAGGGTTAAGTGTTATACGAGCTTAGGGTTGCTAAGAAGGTCGTTTACGGCTTACGGTTTGCTAAGAAGGGCCCACCACACGCTAGCCCGCTAACCGTGGCCTCAAGGGATACTTCTGATTTGTGACTAAACAATGCGCCCTCGAGATTCGGAACACCCTAGTAGTTGGTGCTGGGATCTCCAAAGCTTAGGGTATATTGGGGAATGCAAAAGAAAATGGAAACGACGGTTTCATGTAGGGCTAGGGTAAACTTACTGGCGGCTAGTAGGGAGTGGGGCAATATAATCCTTATATAGTATATTCCCTTATTTCACGCTAACCCCCAGTAAGTGTGTGTGTGTAGAACCAGGATCCAGTAAGATTCAGGATACATTCCTGCATGATGGACTACTTGATCCTCTACCCAAAACCCTCAACCCTAATCTGCGTAGATTCCATGCCAAGCCAATGGAATAGTGGGTCCCTGAACCCCTGCAGTTCTAAGACATGATCATTTAGGGTTTGAGGTTTGTCGATGGGTTGCCAAGTTTCCTGTCAATGTTTCATTTGGAAGGCGCTAGCTGTTAAGTGCGTAGGATAACCTGCACTTCACTTCTTCTTCACGTGGACCGTGAGTATGTCTCAAAAAATCGGCCCCTTGGCGAGAAATTTGCTAAAATGACGCCAGACAGCTATGCTTAAAGCTAAATTGTACATTATACCCTCGCAAAGCACTGCTTTGATGTTCTGCAACCGGATTGTAAGTGCCACGCAATCCCTAGAGAACCTTTCAATGAATTTCCAACATACCCTCCCAGCTTCACGACCCATTCACACATGGTTCTCGTTAGATGAAGAATATACAAGCTTTGCGGCGGATGAGACATGACGATTCTTCAAACCTGCCAGAAAAGGTTTACGCTTTGTGGATTTCTCGCGACCGGAAGTACCCTGGACATGCCAGGGGTCCTAGCGATATGTAACGGTTACGCGAGGAATACGGGGGTCCTAACCGAATGGACGTGCACGAGAATGCCAGGGCGCTCGGAGGCTTTCCTCGCGGCTGGCATCCTTGGCATGGATCTCCTCCTGAAGACAAGCTTTGAGATAAGGGTCTGGTGTTTATGGTTTAGGCTTTGATTAGATAGAGGCTTTGTGAGTATGGTAAATCACCCCTATGTAGCCCACATATAACCAAGAACCTCTTTACAGACACCCAGGGTTTTGATGCCATGGTCAGTTTTCTTTAGATTCAACTCTGCATTATGTAGGTTTTACCAGGCGGGTGTGGGATGTATTTGTAGCGTCATAAGGGTGGCGACCCTGAACCCTAAACCCTATTAAGCTTGAGGCTCAGCCATCCTTGGCATCTATATGAGGTTTCCCAAAGAAAACGCCCCTGGGGAATGTAGGGATACATAGTGATGACAGACGGATAATGGGAGCCCTGATTGAGGATTATGACTCTGAGAAATGGCCAAGTAGCAGCCATCCAAAAAAAAGAGTGAAAAGGAAGCTTGAGTATCCTTGTCATAGTAAATAAGGAATGCGGGAATGAAAAAGATAGTGCTAATTATCTTGTTGAGGATTACATAGAGTCTAGAAATAAAACCCACACTACAGTGTGTACCACGGGTTCAAATGAGAAGCCGGTGTTGCTGTCAAGGCTCACGACGAAAAGGTGCTTAAGCTTAAGAATTTGAAATAAGAGGAATGAATGCCCCCCATAACAACATTTGAAACTTCTTAATACTGAGTGCCATTATGGACCCTAAGTTTCCCAAAACATGCAACGGGAGATGATATTGAAACGGGGATATTGCATTCTAACTTAAAGGTCTGCTGTCCACATGTAGGGGCTTCCTGTAATGAAAGATCCCTCTTTGTGGGAACGTGTAACAAGGATAGGACCCTTACAGCAAGGAAATTGCAAAGCACGGAAACACAAGTGAGGTGTACGGGTCAGGCTGGCCACCTAAGTTTGGGACATGCTCGGAAGGTGCACAAACGCTAAACCCATACCCTAAACAGCCAACAGGACTGATGCTAGGGGAAAGTTTCGCTCATCACACGACTTTTCGCAGCACCTGATGACTTACTGGTGCTCTAGGGAAGCGAGGGAGTGAATATAAGTACAAAAATACAAGATTATATGGTATGTTGTCAAAATTATGGTCCTTTAAGTCCCTTTTTAAGTCCTCATTATAGTGCTGCCCCTAAAAGTTATGGTATTTCAGAAAGCTCAATTTTGGAAACCCCCCATCTGCTTGAACCACTAGTAATATGAGGGGTCTCCGTAGCTGGATGCACCATCTGCGACGTAGCCAGCCCTGTTATATAGATTCCACATCTGACAGCTACCCTGACCCACCCTCGAAGCAGTGACAATTTTCGAAACACGCGCTGACACAAGACAATGCATAAGTCTAACTAACATGATTCACTGAAACTGCGACCCCTGCTGCCGCATGCGTGCTCTCGCAGCATCGCAAACTGAAAGGGGATCCTGAACATCAAGTCTAACACTCATGTGGATGGTTGCGTCTCGCGAGATTCCATACTCACGAGCTGTTTTGCCATCCTCCAAGTAGTGGCCCATGCTGGTGAGGTAGAACACACTCTTGTCAAGACCCATTCGCTGTGCAATCTGCCAATGCGTCCGGCGGATGTCCGCCTCGAGATCAATACGCATTACATGTGTCCTGCCCTGAAAGTCCTTCACGAAGACCTGGGTCGATGAAGCAGAGGCCGCTGTGCCGCGCAGTTGGGACAGCAGAAAATCGATGTATTCACTCAGATCCGATTTCTGCGTCTGCAGTTTGGACTTTTGCTGCTCCAACTCTTTGATGCGCTGCTCTTGCTTCTTGCAATTGAGCATTTCTTGGCTCTTCTCCTTTGCCAGTGCATCTTTCTCAGCCTTCAGCTCATTAATGCGCACATTTGCTCCGGCGAGCCTATCATGCAACTGCTGATTTTCAGATACCGGGCAAACTGCCTGATGAGCAACACTATCTTCCAGCCGGCCTGTCCATCCGCATCCGGAAGCTGCAAAATCGCATCTCACCTTGAGGTCATCAAGCAAGGATCGAATAGGTTGGCATGGCCTCAACTGGGCTGCGTCAAGCGCCACTCTGCAGAGAGGGCACTGTGGCTGAACGGCCAGGGCGCGATTTATGCAAGCAGCACAGAACACGTGCTGGCAGTTGATCCCACACAGTGGGTCTAAGAAGACCTCCGTGCAAATCACACATCGCAATCCTGCAGGAACGCTGTGCGTGTCTACAAGCTTCTCGTCAGAAAGCCCCATGGAATAGCACGGGAAACTGAGAGAACGGCAGCCGTCCAAGTGCTGTCTAGCTTGCGATGCCACAGCTGGTTTTCTGCAAAGTCTCGTTGACTAGTGAGCCAGCGCTACCAGACAAGTACCAATTGTGGGTTGACGGAACCTCATGCGAGCAGCCTTGCTAAGAACTAAGAATAATTGAAAATCTAGGGTTCTTGCCATCTCAAGTCACTAGTTTGAAGAATTCCGGTGAAGTTGCAGGACTGGAGTATTTTAGTGAAGGGCATGGTTGGTTGGTGCATTCCCCTTCTCAACCATAGGACGGTTCAGCCATGAACCATCCATCTGGTAGGCACTTCTTCATGAAACACCAAGGCGGTCTTCATGGGGCTTTACAGACATGGAGAGGCCCCTGAAATATCCCGATTTACTCCAATCTTTTTAAGTAGCCTGAAAAGGAACTGGGGTTTTGGAAGTCAAGATTTATATCTATGTGTATATATATACATATACATTAACCATTGCCAACATGAGACAGGGGTTAAACCTTCAGGCTCCTTCTTAAAACATCCGGCTCCAAGCCAGATCATGGTGGCCTGGCGCTCAGGCTTCGAACAATAGATCACCCCTATCCTGCGCACGAAGCCGCCTTCAATGACGACATGAGATCGGCTGGAAAGCTTACTTAGGGACTTAGGGGGATCTATTTCTTGAGGGGAACCTATGCACAGGTTGTCTAAGATTGTTTACACAGGCTTATCGTAATCCTACCACTAGCGGTTATCCTGAACCAAGGTCCCCCCCGAATGGTAAGCCCTAAACCCACCCCTAAACTTTGAAAGGGATGGTGTAAGTCTGGAGGGTCAGGCTGATATATAAGTAGGTGAATATTGAGAATAAGTGGCATTGGCCCTCCAAGCAGGGCCTGGAACTAAAACCTTGGACAACCTCTGAACCCTAAACCCTAAAGTTTAGAATCAAAAATATTCACTCTACACCCGAAACCTTGAACCCTAAACCCTGCTGAGACCTAAACCATGGAAAAAAAAAAAAGCTGACCGCCGCGCCTCGAAGTCGAAGCTGACGTCCATGTCTTTCACACCGCCAAGGCCTATGTCGGTCCATTTAAGAACCTACGCTGGGTGGAAGAAACCCTGCAACGCTTAGGATCCCCAATATACCGTAACTACTGGAGTATAGAGTGCATCAGGTGGTATAAGAGTTCCTCCATCCACAATATGGAAGAATTTGGTTCTTTTCAAAACGGGGCTACACTTACGGACCTTCCTGCCTATGTAGGAATTATGGAGGGTCCCCTGGTAGCTACACATAAGAAGGGGCTGTTGAGAGAAAAAGAAAGATCATGTGGAGACAATGGTTTAGGGTCAAGTAAAGCTATTTGTTGAGCAAGAACCTAAAATATTGAACCCTTGTCAGGGCCGTTTATGATACGGTGGAAACATGGCCAAAAATTGGACCCGGCTTAGGTTGCCTATCCAAAGTAAAAGGATTTTTTTGCACCCACTTGACTGGCTAGAAGGAGCAGAATTGAGATCAGGAACCAAAGTAGAACTCATGATCATGCTTCTTCCTAACCCTGGCTGCCAAACGCCACAATGTTGAATCAGCCATGCACAGCAGCTTGCGTCGAATGAGCTGCATCTAGGAGCCGACCAATGAGAAGCTCTTCACCGGTGGACGCATGGAGGGTTCAGGTCCAAGGGGGCTTAGTAAGTCTTGGTAAGCGCACATTTGCCCTTTGAATAACCTCAGTTGCTCACATGATTAACCTTCCAGTGTAGCTTTTCGAGCCCTGCTTTGCAATGATAAACCTGCTGGCCCGAAGTCCTGATAACTTGGGAGATAAAAAAATGTATCCCGAGGTCATGAGCAGCACGAAATCAACCACTGTAACATTCCCCTCTCTTTCGCTCCTACACTGTGGCCAATGCTGCACTTGCCAGCAATGTTTGTCACTTCTGATCTTAGTGTTAAAGCACACTTGCCCATTTACGATCACTTCTATCATTCCTACACCGTCCTACAAGCACATCATGATACTACTGATCACTTTCTTGCAATGATTGCTGCAATTCCCTGAACTGGCATGGAACACAAACAAGTCCGTACACGGACTTCTGTCATCCGTCCTTTAGACAATGCGTTTGCGGGGGCTTATACCTTCTTCCCGAGGTTCATGCTCTTTTCCTCCTCCTACTTTGTTGGAGCTATCGTAGGAACCCACCGCCCATTACTTCTGTTATAAGAAGCTGGCTGTTGGACGATAGCTGCGACACGTTTCACCGGCATGGGGCATCAAGGGAGCCCTGGACGTTCGGATTGCGTGGCCCAAACATTAAAAATTCAGTGTATTTCTACATTGGAGCTTTCTAGGTTTTATTATGCGCATCTTCATGCCCATAACACAACCCTCGCACGCAAAGCACCAGAACTCACAAAGCTGCAAGTCCAAGCAGAACACTGCCAGCCGCTTGTGTTTTCATCAGCTCATGGCAATCGATGCATCGCTGGAAAATCGTTTTGAGCCCTGAAAAACCATTTAGTCCTGAGCAGGTTCCTGGAGGCCTTTTGAAGGCCCAGCAAAGTGTGTACACAGTATTGTTGTCACAACAAGCACGGGTATCCCTGTACCCTAAACCCAAACCATTCTGCAGGCTACAACTGGAACTCCTCAGGACTCTTTTTATACTGAAATCAATGATTTTGCTGTCGTCTCGCAGGCCCCTGCGAAAAGCAGCAATATCTTTCGCTCAACATGAGAGGTTGGTAGATTGCCAGCCCTTGT